ATGATGGTCCTCATTCCCCTGACCCTGAAAGAGCCCCCAGTATGCCATCGGGCTACACATGACAGGGACGAATGGAGATGTTACTGGGGCCTGCTCAAGCAAATCAATGAACAATGGGGTGATATAGTGATCATTTATATGAATCTAATATATGGGTATGTGCATTTGCAGTAAAAATTCAAAGTGACAGGAATGATAATTATTAGTATTTTTGGTATAGAAAGTTGTGATTTTTTTTTTTTTTTTGCTTTTTGGGTCACACCTGGCGATGCACAGGGGTTACTCCTGGCACTGCACTCAGGAGTTACTCCTGGTGGTGTTCAGGGGACCATATGGGATGCTGGGAATCGAACCCAGTTCAGCCGCATGGAAGGCAAACGCCCTACCCCCTGTGCTATCTCTCCAGTCCCAGGATGTAATTATCTCATTTCTTAAAAATACTAAACATCATGGAGGTAAGGACCAGAGAGATAAATTAGGGGGTATGGTACTTTCATGCAGCTGACCCAAGTTCAATACTGAGCACATCCTCTGATCCCCCAATCACTGCCAGGAGTGATCTCTGGACTCAGAGCCAGAAATAAAACTTAAAAAAATATAACGTCTGGCACCGCCAGATGTAGCTCAAAGGCCAAAAAACAAAGTGGAGGTGTGTTGCGGGTTATGTTTGAAATGTTTGGGTGGGTTAAGGGGTGTTTTTGAATCATAGCCTCTCCTGTGGCATGTTGGGATTGTGATGTTTAATGAATGTCTTTGTAGTTTAAGATGACACTTTTAAAATAAAATTCTCATCAAATATTGTGAACTACTTTATAAAATAAAAAAATTAAAAATAAGTAAAGAAATAAACTGTCACTGTCACTGTCCCTGTCCTCCCGTTGTTCATCGATTTGCTCCAGTGGGCCCAGTAACATTGTGAGACTCGTTACTGTGTTTGGCATATTGAATATGTCATGGGTAGCTTGACAGACTTTGCCGTGTGGGAGAGATACTCTCAGTAGCTTGTTGGGCTCCCCGAGAGGGGCCGAGGAATCGAACTCGTGTTGGCTGCGTGCAAAGCAAATGTCCTACTCGCTGTGCTATTGCTCTAGCCCAAATAAATAAAAATAAAATAAAATTCTCTCTCAAAGAGACACAGTGAGAGAATTGATAATACTTGTGCCATCTTATTTGGAATTGACATGCTTTATTGTAATCTTGTTCCAGTTTATTTTTGAATTTTCTTTTTGTTTCACTGGAAAGGTGCTCAGTTTTAAATTATAACAATGCAGGTTGCTTTGTTACAATAAAACTAAACATGTACACACAGAGTATAGTAAGTGGAATATAGTAAGTGGAAGATAGTAAGTTCAGTTACAGTGTTGGTGGATCCATGGGTGTTTTATTCTTTTTTACATGCTTTTCAGAAAGTCAGGATAGATTCCTACCAGAAACACAAAAATAAATGAAAATGAAAGAACAGACAGCTTCAGCTTATATGGGGGACGTGAAAACAGTGTGAGCCAGGGCAGCGTGTTTGCGATCTGTTCCTCCAGACTCCTGTGCTGGCGTCACTGTGTGCCTCTCTGCCACTCACTGCTCCATGCCCTGTTCCTGTTGGACACGCCCTGTGGTTGATGGGATGGGTTGATAGCTCACCTCAGAGCCATTGGTCAGAATTTTTCCTTTGCTGCTGCTTGCACTGTCCTCCCAGCAAAGTAGCTTCTCTCCATCTCTCTGACTTCTTGGTAATGATGTGTGTTAACTCACTAACAAAGGAAATGCAAATTGGCACCTAGTACATGCCAAGAATCTACAGTAGCTTCTGAAATACCTGATCCTGAAAACCCAGTTTTAAAATTGCCTGTGAAATTCTTTAAATTTTAGAATAACTCAGTTTCACCAGGGAAATTACTAGATAGTTCCTTGGGTCAGAGCGGTAGTACAGTGAGTACTAGGTGCTAGTTTGCATGCATGTGTGGCCAACCCAGGTTCGAGCACCAGGATCCCATATGGTCCCCCAAACACCATCAGGAGTGAACTCCCCCTCCAAAAAAAAAAGTACTAGTCACAAGGTTGGTTTGTTTTACTTCTGGCTCTGCTCTTCAGAATCGCTTCTGGTAAGACTCAGGGGACCATATTGAAGTGCTGGGGATTGAGCTGGGTCATCTGCATGCAAGGCAAATACCCTCCCTTCCCTGCTGGGCTGTCTATCCAGCCCTGTGTGTTTTTTTTTTGGTTTTGGGTTTTTTGTTTGTGGGTCGCACCTGGTGGTGCTCAGACATTACTCCTTCCTCTGTGTTTAGGAATTACTCCTGGTAATGCTTAGGGGACCATATGGGGATCAAACCTGGGTCAGCTGCGTGCAAGGCAAGTGCCCTACCCGTTGTACTATCTCTTTGTCTGTGATAACTCAATTTCTTTAGTTTCAATCATTGACTCCTAGTCTTCAAGGGAATATTTGGGGGCTGGACATACAGTACAGGGATTAAGGTGATACCTTACATGTAACCAACCACGGTTCAATCTCTAGTACCACATGATTCTCCAGGCATCACCAGGAGTAGCACCTGGACACTGCCTGTTCTGGCCCAAAAGTGAATAAAAACTTGAAAGAAAATTAATTTAGTATAATTTGTGTGATTACAATTTTCAGTTGCTTGCAGAACTCTTGTGGAATTTTACCATCAGCTCAATTTCAGCATTTCTCTTGCGCATCTCTTTTGGTGAGCAGTGCTGAGTTGAACCAGACCCTAACAAGATGCAAAACAAAGACTTAACCACTCAGCAGCTGCATTCCTGACCGGGTGCTGGGGTCGAACCTGGACCTACAGTAAGCACAGCGTGTACAGAGACCCTTTTTCTCTCCCTGCCACAAATTCAGCATTTCTAAACCTGGAAGCTGTTTCTTTCGCCTCTTCAGTGTTTCTGTTTTTGTGTTTTTGTTTTTGCTTTTTTGGTTATATTTTGTTCTGTTTGTTTTGGGGCCACACCTGGCAGTGCTCAGGATTTACTCCTGGCTCTGCACTCAGGAATTATCACTACTGATGGGATTCCTGAAGCACTACTCGGGAATCAGTCTTGTATGGGATGCCGTGAATCAAACCCAGGTCAGCTGTGTGCAAGGCAGGTACCCTACCCCCTGTGCTATCTCTCCCTCCTTAGTCTTAACTTCCTTCTATTTTTTTTTCTTTTTGGGTCACACCTGGCGATGCACAGGGGTTACTCCTGGTTCATGCACTCAGGTATTACTCCTGGCAGTGCTCAGGGGACCATATGAGATGCTGGGAATCGAACCTGGGTTGGCCACATGCAAGGCAAACAAACGCCCTACCCGCTGTGCTATCACTCCAGCCCCTTAACTTCCTTTTACAGCTCTCTAGTTTTGGACAGTAATTTTTATCTTCTATTTGCCCAAACTAGCAGCTTTAAAATCATGTTATTTTATTAATTTTGGGCTTTGGGCCATACCTTCCGGTACTGGGGCACTGCACCTGGTTCTACTCTGGGGTCATTCTGGGGGTGCTCAGGGACCATGCAGTAAGTGCCATGGATTAAACCTAGAGTACCTGCATGCAAAGCATATGCCCTACCCCTTTGAGCTATCTCCTTAGCCATAAGTCATTTTTGAGTCTTTTTTTCTGCAATATGTCTCAAAAAATGTGTGTTTTTGCTGGGGATTGTCAGACCCTAATCCATGCAGCACAGATGCTCTACCACTGAACTCTATCCCTGGCCTTTAAAGCACTTGTATTTCTCCTGAGTGACATTTTTGTGCTGGCTCTCTTCAGATCTTTGTGAGACACGAGGCTGTCATGGTTAAAAAAGACTCGCTTATTGATTGGGTGACTTTATTTGACTCCATCTCTCTTGCCCTCAGCTGGAAACAACTGTAGAAATATGGGGAGAATTTAGTGGTTTTAAGTGGTTGGCATAGAACTAAACTGTATCTGTATATGCAGCTATTAGTACTTGATATTTTGTCTCCAGTTAAATTGTAGCTCCATGAAGACAAATATTAGATTATGTACTTCTTTGGTATTTCTTTACTATCTCCCACAGTAGAAGACCTATAGGAAACTCAAAAAACTTCCTCAGATTTTGAATGCAGTAGTTCTTTTTCTTCATTTGATAGTAAAACACTTTTCTTTGAAACCCCAGACATAATGGTAGCAAGTTTTATAAATTTATTTCTTGCTATCTGAAAATAAAATAAGCATAAATATAAATGGGGGCGATAGCACAGCAGGTAAGGCATTTGCCTTGCACGAGGCCGACATGGCCGACCCGAGTTCGATTCCTCCGTCCCTCTCGGAGAGCCTGGCAAGCTACCGAGAATATCTCGCCCGCAGGGCAATGCCTGGCAAGCTACCCGTGAGGTATTCAGTATGCCAAAAACAGTAACAATAAGTCTCACAATTTGTTGTGAGAGGTTACTGGTGCCTGCTGGAGCAAATCTATGAGCAAGGAAGGGCAGTGCTGCAGTACTACAGTGTGACAAATGAACAAGTTCTTTCAAGTTTAGTTTTGACTGGGAGAGTCACACCTGGTTTTCGAGTTATTCCTGTTTTTGTCCTGGGGAGGCGGATGGGGGTTGCTCCCATTGATGCCCAGGAGGACTGTGCAGGGAACCCTGCACAAAGTGAGGGCTCCTGTGAGCGGAGAGACCATTTTCGATAATGCTGGTCTAGGTAATGTGCTTTCTTTTGAAACGTTTCAGCTGGCCGTCTGTGGGCAAACTATTTTAATATAGCTGTTCGTATTTCTTTGCCTTATTTCTAAACTGCTTCAGGCCTGAGGACCTGCGCCGTGAGTTTGGTCGATATGGCCCTATAGTAGACGTTTACATTCCACTTGACTTCTACACCCGCCGCCCGAGAGGATTTGCTTATGTTCAATATCCTTTATTTGACTCTGTGCATGAGAATGGGCTTCACACAGGCTTGCATGTATATGCGTTCAGGAGCATCTGCTGTAAGATTAATATTGCCTAATTAAATGTGTTTATTTCTTTATCTCAGAAAAGCTAAAGCAGTCCACAGTAGCTGGCAATCGCCCCCCAGTTTGAACCAACCTGTTAGCTAGAATCCAAGCCTAAACCCAGCAGGAAAGACAAAAGGCACCTAAAGGCCACGCATCAAGGAGGAAAGAGGGAGGGTGGACACAGATATAAAGCCCTGGAAGAGGGGAAGTCTTTACCAAGCAAAAGACAATGCCAGCACCAGGCTGAGACTTCGGCTTTCCTACATTTACTCAGAGATCCAGAGTCAAAGCCAAGTCTGATTTTGTTGGTTCTGCGTCTCTTATAAAGTCCATCTTGCAAGCCTTAAAGAGTAAAGGTCAAGGTTCAAGATCAAGTGACATTGAGGTAATTGCCAAAGTCTAATTTTGTTTTGCCTTTCTTGAGCTTTTTCTGTTTTCTATTAAAAAAAAGTGAACAACCTCCTGAAATGCACCGATTTATTCATTTTATATACCTTATTTCCATTTTAGGTAGGTTTAATAAATTACATAGGTAAGGGATTTTAGTGGGTTATTATGGATTAGTATATGTGTATTCCAAGAGTTTGTAGATGGCCTTTGTTTATTATTTTCCAGTTGTGAAACAGAAGAAAGTAAAAGAGACACACAGGGGACCCACACGAGAGAAGAACTGGGTTTTTCCCTACAGAGAAAAAGGGAAAAATTAATTTGTTCCATTTTATAATTTTCCTTTTCTGTCTCCAACAGTTTCTAAAGCTGTTGATTCAGAGGTAACCAGGCATCATTTTTGAAGAACTATAATAGTTTTGACTATATTGTAGCTGACTTATATGTACAATTTTGTTTACATGTAACTTAAGTCTAATTTTTTTAAAAGCCTTTTAATGGAGTAATTTTCAATTTCAGAATAAAAATTGCTGTTTGCTGATTCCCCCCCCTGAGAAACCCAGTAGATTTTTTTTACTTGAAAGAAGGGAGTGAGTCCTGAACTGATTATTTTTATAACACTGACCAATGTTGGATTTCTTGTTATTTTTTGTTTTGGAGGCATACCCAGCAGCGCCCGTGGCTTACTCCTGGCTCTGTGCTGAGGAATCACTCCTGGCTGTGCTTAGGGGACCGTACGGGATGCGGGGGATCAAACTTGTGTTGGCTGCATGGAAATTGGATGAATTTCATTGGATGAAATTTTCACCCTACTGGATGAAATTTTCTTACATTTAAAAAATTATATATGCACACCACAACTATACTAATATGTAGCTAAAAGTATTGTTACACATTTCCTTCTGATTTTTAGATTCACACTAAATCTAATACAGTTTTTCATGATAAAATGAATTTTTCTGTTATTCATAATTCATTGGTGATATGAGCTTAAATAACTTGAATTTGTTTTTCCTGTTACTTTCATGTCATGTATAAACAATTTATTAAAAATATTTTCACTTGATATCTACTGTTCAAAGTGTCCTTAACAGCTAGTCATATTTGAAGATGTCCGAGATGCTGAAGATGCTCTTTATAACCTCAACAGAAAATGGGTATGTGGCCGGCAGATTGAAATACAGTTTGCACAAGGGGATCGCAAAAGTAAGTGTGACTCAGCATTAGATCTTATTCAACAGAGTTTCCACAGTGTTTTTCATTTAAAGTTCTTTCAGAAAAGGAGACTTATAAAATCAAACAAGTTCATTTTTCCCTTTTGCTCTGTAAGGAAAAACCCAGTTCCCTCCTGTGGGTTTCCCCTGTGTGTCTCCTTTATTTTCTTCTGTATACAGGAACATCTCACTTCTGACACTTGATTACCAAACCCCACATCAGCCAACTCTCTGACACCAGTGAAGTCTCCTACAGTTTTGACCAATTCTCAGGTGTGCATGGCATCATTTCCCACTGGATAGATAGTGAGTGATAATACCACGTGTGTTCTCCTCACTTTAGACACCAACCACAAGTCTGGGTTGTTACCCACGCTTCTGATCAACCTGTAGAAGGGAGCTTTCAACAACCTTCTTGGAGTGGATTAATTTTCTAGAGCAGCACACAGGGAAACACTTATGGACTGATTTATTATAGAAGCCTGTGCTAACAGGTGGAAAGCTGAAGTTCCCAAATTTATTCACTATAGTGCCCCCTTTTCAGAAAAAAAAAAAGTCATTTGATACTACTATAGAAATCTACCTACTTTAGAGACCAAAAAGATAATATGGGGTAGGGTGCTTGCCTTACACCTGACTGACAAGCGTTCAGTCTCTGGAACCCCATATGGTCCCCTGAGTCCTGAGTGCAAAGCCAGGAGTAAGTCCTGAGCACTGCTGGATATGGTCCCATCACTACCCCCCACCTCCAAAAAATATACCTTAGTTAAACAGGCAATCAGAAAGTGCTTCCTAGTTGCACCATACCTAGTACCCACACCCCCCCCCCCCCACCTCATCTGTCTAGTACTCCCCAGGGTGTGAGTCTGTGGTCTAGGGAAATGTTATGTTGAGATGAGCAGCTGGATAGAAGAGACAGATGGGTTGAGGTCTGGCTGGCAGGGTCCCAGGCCTGGGCTCCTTGGAACTCCTCCAGCATGGGCATGTCCTCTTGCCCTGGAAGCACCCAACCCCATTCTGCTGGGATTAGACGGGTTTATCACTCGGCCGGGACTGAGTATTCTCTCCATTTTCATGAAGGGGGTGGGGTCATACCTGGGGAAACTTGGGGAACATGCAGTACTGGGGATCAAACCTGAGGTTCCTCCATGCCCTAGTCCTTTGAGTTATTTCCCCAACCTCATATTAACTGCTTTTCCAGCCCTTTTCTTAAGAGACTAGGGAAGATGGGCCGAAAATTACAAGTTTCTAATCAAGAGTTGGTCTCTCTGGCAACAGCCCCTCAAGGAAATCACCTAGAGCTGCTTTATTAGAGCAAAAGCCAGTCCTCTCACCCAGGACATTCCAAGGGTTTCAAGAGTTCTCAGTCAGGAACCAAAAGGGAATAATGGGACAAAAGATGCTCTTACTGCTCTTACTACCAGGAGTTTTCAAGGGTTTTAGGAGTTCTTTGTAAGATACCAGGGTTAGAGACCAACACATATTTATTTATTTGTTCTTTCTTTTTTTTTGGGGGGGGATGTGAGAAGAAGTCACACCCAGCAGTGCTCAGGATTTATTTCTGGCTCTGTACTCAGGGATCACTCCTGGTGGGCTCAGGCGATCATATAGGTTGCTGGGGATGGAACTACGGTCAGCCTCATGCAAGGCAAATGTCCTATCCATTGTACTATTTCTCCAGCTCCAGCCTATATTTCTTATTATAAATCACAATGTGGTGATTGCTATTTGATTATGAGGTTCTTGTGATGAGATTTTAAGTATTGCACTTCAATATTCTAGCACCAGGTCAGATGAAATCAAAAGAACGTCATCCTTGTTCTCCAAGTGATCATAGAAGATCAAGAAGTCCCAGCCAGAGGAGAACTCGAAGTAGAAGTTCTTCGTGGGGAAGAAATAGGAGGCGGTCTGATAGCCTTAAAGAGTAAGTAACAAAATACAAAAGGATTAAAAACTTCCATTTTCTTTTTTTCCTGTAAAACATTTTGAAGGGTTTTTGAAAGGCCAAAATCATTTTGTATAATATAAGAAGCAGCTCTTTTAGAAAGATTATGTTCCTTTTTATTTATCATATATTCTTAGATTTATTGAATACCTTCCAATGTTCTTACTGCAGCCTTCTTTCAAGGTTTGAACTTAGAATGGCCTGAAGATGGGTTGGAAGCACCACTTTTATGAGCCAGTAGAATTCAGGTCAGGATTTGAGTCATTACTGGATTTCGTGAAGGAATATTTAGAAATAGTTCCATTCTGGAACTTGATCTTTTCTGTACCCTACTTTCTAAACCTCATATCTACAGAGAAGAATCTGTTGTGTCCATAGCTAAAAGAAAGCCATTTTCCAATTGATTATTTACGGTTAGACCATGATAAATAGTTTTCAGACCCAAATATAAAATTGTATTTCTAGAACTTAAAACAAAGTGAAAATAACGTTGATAGTAGGAAAGCCACATTAATACTAGTGGTAGGAACTGCTTCTGGTTTCACAGCAGACATGGGCAGTGTAAGGAAGTAAGTGATCTCCAGTTTAGATGACCATGAATTCTGTACATACATACACAATACAGTCTTTATATACAACATAGAATTCTGTAACTGCACATGAGAGAGTATTCATCTGTAATTTAACTTAAGTTTAGAATGATGTGAATGGTACCTATAAAACTGTGTTAGAGATCAAGACAGATGTAATACTAAATGTGTAAAGCAGCACTGTCTTAACTTACTGAATAATATCCACTAGTCTTAGTGACAAACGCTTCCTGGAAGAAAAAAAGAAATTTCCTATTTGGTCATTAAGAATCTAGTTGTTGGAGCCACAGAGATGGCTCAAAGGATGTAGCCTCAGAATCCACCAAGTATGCACCTCCCAGCCCCCTCCCTGCAAAAGTTTTTAAGTTGTTTCCAACTGCATTAGAGCTTTAGTTAATTGATTGAACTTTAAAAAGTGGATTTGGGGCTGGAACGATAGAACAGTGGGTAGGGTGTTTGCCTTGCACGCGGTTGACCCAGGTTCAATTCCCAGCAACCATATGGTTCCCCGAGCACCTCCAGGAGTGATTCCTGAGTGCCGAGCCAGGAGTAACCCCTGTACATCGCCGAGTGTGACCCAAAAAGCAAAAAAAAAAAGGATTTGCTTTTTTTTTTCTCATTTCTTGCCTTTTAAGTGACTAGAAGAAAATAAAAAGGTGTGTTAGTGTCCCAAATCCATCACAGAATATCAGGAATAGAATGACATCAGCTTTTAAGACAGTGCTTCTTTGTTTTATGCTGGTTGAAAGAAAAATACTTAATCTCCCTGACTCTGGACTTATTTGTAAGCTCATATTCCAAAGAACTCGTTTTAGCTACCTCTCAAGACACTCAGAAGACTCAGCTTGCATGTGTGTGTGTTTCTGTGTGTGTGTGCATACCAGTTTATATGGACCAGAATATATAGAAGCCTGCATACTAAGATATGTACAATAAGTATGTGAAGTAGTGGACTAAAAGAGGTCTCATTTGACACTTGTGGATACGGAAAAAACTATGTTACTCTCACTAGACTGAATTCCTGGAGGGACAACAACTTTTGTCTTAAGCTTATAGCTGAGCACTTAGTAGTGGCCTCTAATTCATGTCAGATATTCTGTAAGTACTTGTGAACATATGTATCAGTGAACATGTATGTTTAAAACCCTAAGTATTCCTGAAAAATGTTAAAACTTTCCCTTGGTCTATATATATTAGGATGCTTGCCCTGCACACGGCCGACCCAGGTTGAGTCCCTGAGCCAATATGGTCCCCAGAGCCAGGAATAATTCCTGAGTACAGAGCCTAATGGAATACCTGAGCATCTCCAGATAAAGCCCCAAAATATTTGTGTGTGTGTATACACATACATATACATACATACATATATACATACATACACATATAGAGAGAGGGGCAGAGGCCATATATTCTGGTTTAACAAACATTACAGACTTGTTACATTTGAATCAGATGCATGATTATAAAATTAGAATTGTTTCCTTTACCATATATGATAAAAACATAAATGATTTCTGAGAGTGACATTTCCTAGCCTACTAACTGTCCAGTGTGGATATGGACTCTAACGTTACGGATGTTTGCAGGTCTCGGCACAGGCGATTTTCTTACAGCCAGTCTAAGTCTCGCTCCAAATCACTTCCAAGGCGGTCTACCTCAGCAAGGCAGTCAAGAACTCCAAGGAGAAATTCTGGTTCTAGAGGGCGTTCAAGGTCCAAGTCCTTACAAAAAAGGTCCAAGTCAATAGGAAAATCACAATCAAGGTCACCTCAAAAGCAGACTAGCTCAGGAACAAAATCAAGATCCCATGGAAGACATTCTGACTCCATAGCAAGATCCCCATGTTGTAAATCTCCCAAAGGGTATACCAATTCTGAAACTAAAGCACAAACAGCGAAACACTCGCATTTTCGATCACATTCCAGATCCCGGAGTTACCGTCACAAAAACAGTTGGTGAACAACAAAAGCAGAAAACGACATAGTCTTTAATATAAGTTATTGAACTTCTCATTATGTTAAATAAAAATTATTCAAGGCTTACAGAAAATGTGAGTTGATATTAGTTACTTCGGGCATGTGCAAGAAATAATACTTCTCTAACTTTGGATTAACAAAGATTTAGTCTCAAGGCCCCACACCACAAATTATGAGATGTCTAAATGTCACCATTTTATGGACCATTTTTTGTTCACATTGTCGCAGAAGGTGCTTTTCAAGGAACATAAGTAAAATTAGTCTAGAAAATTCTAAATTCTTGGATGTTAAGTACTAGTCATTTTAGTATGTTGTACAAAAATATTTACTTTAAAGCACTTTAATTTCCTGTACAAAGTAATTATGACTTATATTGCATAGGACCTATTCAAGCTTTTGACACTCTTGTATCTTCTGTTTAAACTTGAGCCAATTTTGACCAATATTACATCACATTCCAAAGTTCTGCATCTTCAGAAATAACTTTATGTAGAAATCAAGCATCCAGAAGATACATTCTAGGATGGGGCCATAATAAAATACGCAGGGCACTTGCCTTGCACGTATATGGTCCCTGAGTCCTGCCAGGAATGACCCCTGAGCACCACCAGGTGTAGCCCCAAAACCAAAATAAGTGAGATGCAGTCTAGGGCTGGGAAGCTGGCTCAAATGGTAGAGCACATGACTAGCATGGGCAAGGCCCCGAGTCTGATCCCTAGCCGACATGACTCCTGAGCACTACCCGGTATGGCTCTGGTGATTCCCACAGCATTGCTGAGGATGGTTCCTATAAATTAAAGTTTAAAGTTATGTTCTATCCTGAACTCCTAAAGGTCTTGTTTTTATTGAGTAGAACAGCATAGATAAGTTTACATTAAATTCTGTACCACAGTCACTTCAGAAAGATCAAAATATTTAGAGATTATGAAATAGGAGGTCAGAGAAATAGTACAGCAGGTTGGTGCTTGCCTTACACGCGTCTGACCTGAATTCAGTCCCCAGCATCCATATAGTTCCCCAAGCACTGCCAGAAATAGTTCCTGAGCGCGAAGTCAGGAGTAGCCCCTGACCATTGCTGGGTGTGGCCCCACCACAAACAAACAAAATTTGAATGGTTTGAAACTTCTCAGAAACGTGTACAGAACTCATAGTCCAAAAAAATTCATATTGAGCCTTACACATTTAAAAATAGTACTTTTATAAATATAATTTATTTTATACTATAATTTCTACATATGTACTTTTCATCTGCTTAGTGTTTTTTCTTTCTGAAACTCAAGACTTTAAATTGTATAAAATAAGTTTGTTAGTTTTTGAAGTCTTTAGTACCTTGTATTAGTTACAAAACTGCATCCTCAAAATTAATTTTGCAGTATTCAGATTTACATTATACTGCCCTTCAGTTTTTAAACCAAAATAACTTGGTATTTATTGCTTTTGTAGTTATTACTAAGTATTTCTTTCAGAACATGTTTGTAGTTTGTTTTTCAGAGGATTTTAATAGTGTTTGTGATGAAAATGGTTTTACATGATTACAATAGGGGATATATTTATAGAACTCTGTGTATCTTGTTGAATTATATTGAAAATTAAACATTCTCAGCCCATATAATTAATATTTGTACCTAGAGTGCTTAAGAAAAATACCATATATTTTTAACATAGAAGCCAGTGCTGCTTCTATTTCTTTTGAATACAAATTTTCGTTTTTCTTTTGAATTTGAGATTCCATGTGTAAGAAACTTTTAAAAAATAATTTATATGCCAATATTTGAACAATTGCCGTAAATTCATGTGTAATGTACTTTCTAAATAGATTTTCACTACTTAATCATAACAAACCTACACCAACACTATAATTATTTCAGTGTTCAGCTGTAATAAAGTTTAGTTTTATGATTATGTGGCACTCTTGAAAATTTAAAGGCTAACCCAAAGAAAGAGCAAGATAAATAATAACTTTTTATATTTTCTAAATAAATGTTTGGATTTACACACACACATATGCAGTTCTAAATGCTAACTAGGAATTGATCATCATGTCTTTACTTCGCATTTGCTTATTATTATATCATAGTAAAAAGTTAATCAGGAATTGTTTCTGAACATGTTTAATCATTTAATATACCTCTCTTTTGGTTTTCAGTTTAATTCCCAGACTGCTAAGGACTATCTTCCTAATTGCTTTGATGGGAAAACTGGCACCATAATAATTCAGACTTTTAAAAAAATTTTACTTGGGTAGTACTGTTAACATTATTTGCCCATTTAGTTTGCATAACAACTTTCTGAGTAAAAACTGCCTCTCAGGGATGTGAGTACAAAGAATGGGGCTGGAGCAGTAGTACAGTGGGTAGGGTGTTTGCCTTGCACACATCCAACCCAGGTTTGATTCCCAGCATCCCATATGGTCCCCGGAGCACCGCCAGGAGTAATTTCTGAGTGCAAACCCCTGAGCATTGCCAGGTGTGACCCAAAAAGACAAAAAAAAAAAAAGTTCAGTGACAGGCATGAAGGTCAGGCTGGAGTAGGAGGAGTAATAGCACAGAGGGTAGGGCACTTGCACTTGCTTTTCACGCAGCTGACCCGGGGTTCGATTCCCATCACTGCATATGGTCTCTCTAGCAACGCCAGGAGTATGACCAGAGCACCTCGGCAGCCCCCCAAAAAACAAAGTTGGCTACCTATTAGACTTTGGATATTGGTTGGCTGGACTCCAGACTCTTGACTTCCATACTGAGTTTTTCACACACAGAAAGCTTTGGACAGACTGGTAGTTAGCTAAGATAATGAAAGTAGAGGATGGAATTTGAAGAAGACGTGAGTAGAGGCTGCAATAAAAATGAGTTCAGGAAAGGCTGGGTGGAAAGTGACTGGCATTTGTGCAGGCATCCTGGAAATTTTTCTGGGATTCATTTTTTTTTTGTTTTTGTTTTGTTTTTGGGTCACACCCGGCGATGCTCAGGGGTTACTCCTGGATCATGCACTCAGGAATTGCTCCTGGCGGTGCTCAGGGGACCATATGGGATGCTGGGAATCGAACCTGTGTCGGCCATGTTGGCTGCGTGCAAGGCTAACGCCCTACCCGCCGTGCTATTGCTCCAGCCCCAATTTTTTTTTTTGGAGGGATTCATTTTTTGATAGACTGTTTCTTAGACCAATTAAGAGAGGATGCTTAAAATAAGATTGTTACTAAAGCTGGAGTGATAGCACAGTGGTAGGGCATTTGCCTTGCACACAGCCAGCCTGGCGGAGCCAGGTTCGATTCCTCCGCCCCTCTCGGAGAGCCCGGCAAGCTACCGAGAGTATCTTGCCCGCACTGCAAAGCCTGGCAAGCTACCCGTGATGTATTCTATATGCCAAACACAGTAACAACAAGTCTCACAGTGGAGACGTTACTGGACCCGCTCCAGCAAATCGATGAACAGCAGGAGGACAGTGCTAGACAGTGCTAGTAAAGCAAATTATTTAGACATCTGTGATCATTTCCTTTAAAGGAAATTTACTCGGGTGACTTCTCAGGCTTAACGTAGGGACACTATCAGGTTTTTTTTTTTCCCAGAATCAAAAGTTAATGTCAAAGAAAATAGAAATTGCCACTACCTCTGTTTGTTTCCTCTGTCCCCCTTGGTAATACACAAAAGTTTTGTTGTGTTTCTTGGGCCACACCCAGGGGTGTTTAGGGCTTACCTGGCTCTGTTCTCAGTGATCACTCCTTGAGGGGTGTGGAGGACCATATAATGCTGGGGATTGAACCCTGGTTCTCAGCATGCAAAGCAAATGCCTTACCTACCGTACTGTCTCTCCCGTCCCTAGAAAACATTTCTAGGTATTAAATGAAGTAACAGGCACCTCAGCATCAAAATCTCTCCTTTGGTGAAAATAGAGTATTGATATTTAGAATTGTAGCATTGATTCTGCCATTGGTGTGCCAGGTCATTTAGGGTCTCTGGGAAATGCACATCCTTTCAGGGGAGGTTGTTGGGAGAGGGGATGTGGTACCAAGGATCAAACTCACGATCTCACACATGTAAGGCATGTGCTCTACCACTGAGCCACATCCCCGGCCCACATAGTACATATTGGTAGTGTTTTTAAAAAGTTCCTAGGATGAAACAAGTTGACTTTATCAATAATTAAGGCGAGGGTCAGAGATAAGGGGCTTGGCTTGCACGTTGCTGATTCCAGTTCTACCCTTGGCCCTGCCAGAGCCAGCCCTGAGCACACCCAAGTATGGCCCATCCCCAAATTATCATTGAACCAAAAATCATTTTGGGACTATGCCCTTAGAGGTTTTATGTAGAATTACCTTTTATTTTTTTACTTTTTGTAAGTTTTGTTTGGTGGCCATAACCAGCACTGTTTGGGACTATACTCAGCTTTTAAGGGATTTTTCCTAGGAGTGCTCAGGATCACGTATCAGGGATGCAACCCAGGACTTCCTCGTGCAAATTGAGCCATATCTCTGACACAGAAACTTTTAACTTTCTGTTGGTTCTCCTGGTCTGCATTAAAGGCTTGAAAAGGTAGGAAGAAACTAGTGTGAGTTGTGCACTGCCTGGCTTGTCCAGGAGCTCTGTCCAGCCTCGGCCACCTCTTTTTTCTCTTTGCGATATCTCATTCATACATGTTAGTTTATGACTTTGAAGTTTTCTCTTAAACCCTGGAGTTACTTAAGTCCTTTTGGAATCTTTATATATAATCTCCACCTGCCCTTTAGCCTTCTCGGAAGTTTCTTCAAGCATTAACATTTAATGTCTACTTGTCACCTTTCCTAAATATACCAGGGCTTAAAAACATTTTTTTGAATCCTTATTAATATTTAAAATGTCTTTGGTGGGGCTGGAGAGATAGCACAGCGGGTAGGGTGTTTGCCTTGCACGCAGCCGACCTGGGTTTGATTCCCAGCATCCCATATGGTCCCCTGAGCACCGCTAGGAGTAACTCCTGAGTGCAGAGCCAGGAGTAACCCCTGTGCATCGCTGGGTGTGACCCAAAAAGCAAAAAAAAAAAAAAAAGATAAAATATCTTTGGTGTTCAAGTCATTGACTAGATTTGTTCTATTCATGTATTATAACCAACTAACCAGCCTACTTGAAAGTGCAAAGAAAATTTTACAATCACAGGAGTTGGGAAGATAGTACAGGGGTTGGGCTTTTGTTTGCCTTGCAGGCGGCCAACCCTGGTTTGCTGAACCCACCAGAAGAGATCTCTGAGCACCACCAGGTGTGCTCCCAACCCCCCATTCCCAAACCCCCCCCCAAAAAAAAGATGGCACTTACAGGGCCAGAGAGAAAATATAGTGGGTAGGGTGCCTTTCTAGTATGGATTTGAGCATCGCAGTCCCCTGAGCACTGCCAGAAGTGATCTCTGAGCAAAGAGCCAGGAGTAAGCCCTGAGCACTACCAGGTACAGCAGCATAAATAAGTGAGCTTACAGATGTATTGACAAGTATTCAACATGT